AGCAGGTTCTTCAGGTGTTCAGGTCTGACCTTGTCTGGGCCAGGTGCTGTTCATTTCTTTACCAACGAAATGGCGTGTGGAATTTCTGAAGGGAGAACTTTGGGAACTATATATCCATTCTGTAGAATTTGGTATGTGAGCAGTTGGACATGGCTAGCAAAGAGATCTGAGTAGATGTCATGACATTCTTCTCCATTGCTTTTTGGAAGATGTGATAGATCCATCAGGACTTCGGAGGGCAGTCATCTTGATCTTGTAGTTGGCGAAGGACAGGCAGGCATTACGAATGCTTTTCCCGGCTTCTGCTTTATCTACCAACACTGCTGCTCTTCTCTCTTTGAGGTCTTTCTTTATGGATCTCTGCACTGCTTTGGAAGCTCCTACGTTCACTTGTGGTTGCCTGAGGCATGCGCCAAACCAGTTTGGCGAATAAGCTCAAGAGTTTTCGAAGACAGGCGTTTTTTCTTTTTGTGGCTATCTCTCTCTTGGCATTCCTCGCACAATCATGGAGGTGCTGAGCCAGTCGATCATACTCCTCTTCAACGTTGTCAATGATAGAATCTTTCCATGTTGCAAAGAGCTCCCAGTTGGTGATCATTCTGGAAGTTCTCTCTTTAAACTTTGCAGCCCTTTTTCCCCACTCTGTGAAGTAGAATTTTGCATGAAGGAGATGGTGGTCAGATCCCATTTGGAATTTTGGGACAACAGCAACATCAGTCAGGCAAAACCGTCGATTGAATGTGATGTGGTCAATTTTGTTGTGGAACCGTTCACTGGGAGACTCCCATGTCCAATGTTTATATTTGACCTTCTGGAACTGTAAATTACCATGGGTGGTCTTGGTCAAGATGATGAACTCTGATAGTCTCTCATCCTGTTTGTTCCATTCTAGGCCATGGATCAAGATGTGGAGTTTTTTGGCTGATTTTCTTGGTCCTATCTTGGCATTAAAGTCACCGACAATGACCTTGTAGAAGGTGTGGTCTTCTTTGTAGAAATTATCCATCTCCATTAGAACTTCTCAACTTCTCCTTCATCATAATTGGATGTTGGTGCATAGACAAAGAAGATAGAAACTGCCGGCAGTGAGCCACATCTATTCAAGTGTTATTGTTCGATTCGGGTTGTTAAGCATTCAAATGAATCAATGCTCATGGCCAAGTTCATGTTGACAAGGACACCGACGTCTCCAATGCCTCTTGTTGCATGTTCCGAGGAACAGTTCTTCTCCAGTGTCGAAAATGGTGTGATGTGATTGATGCCTTCTTGTCTCAGTCAGACCAATGATGTTGTACTTGATCTTTCGCGCTTGTACCATCAGGTCCTCGATGGATACATCTGATGCCAGGGTATGTACATTGAAAGTACAGACAATCATTTTTGTCTTTCTTCATTTTGGCAGCCTAGTTCGGCCTTGAGATTTTATCAGTCTCTCCTTCCATATCCTTTTCTATGCTACCATATTGGTGATTCCTTCCGGGTCAGAGGAATGAGACCCATTGTATTTACTAGTTTTGGCATATTGAATATGCCATGGAAAGCTTGCCAGGCACTGGATGTACTTTATGCAAAATCCAACCATCAAAACATCTTTTATATAAAAGTTTTCCCTAAGGGATTGGGGTAGGGAACATAACAACTACACATGAAGAAGCATGTGTTTTTTTTGTCTGAAATTTACTTGAAACTTGTCTAAGTGTAGAGTCAGTGTCTGTTCCTTTATTATTCCTTGTGAAATAAAAATAAAATGTCTTCTTATTTATTTATTATAAAAATTAAGATTTAACATGTGTATGATTTGCAATTAAAATTTTGATTGAGATTCTATAATTTACATTTGTAAGAATAAGTGCTTCTTAGGAACATAATTTCAACGCACTCGTCAACAGTGGACACTCTCCATATCCCAAGAATACAAAAGACCTACCTATCCCCACCTCAAGTGAATTGTGTAGAACATTTCTCTGTTCATGTTGCCGTTTTACCTTTGTTGCTAATTTGATGCATAAATTTAAGTCTTACATATGAGGGAGATTATTCTGTATCTATCCCTTTCCTCTGGATTGGTTTCATTCAACATGATATCATTTGGTTCCATCCAGATTGCTACAAATTGAATGACTTAGGTTTTTTATTATAGCTACATAATATTCCATCATGTACAAATACCACAACTTCTTGGCCTAATTATTTGTTGCTGGGCATAATCATTTCATGACTGTGAGAATGACACTTATACACATGTCTGGAAACTGCTAGAGTTGTTGGAGGGATGGTGAGAAAAGAATCCTAATCCATTTCTTGTGGGAATATTCTCTGGTTTAGTCTTTCTGGAAATAAATATATAAATCTATCCAAAAAAATAAGAATAGAACTACAACACAACCCAGTGTAACCACTACTTGGCATATCTATTGTACACAAAAATTAATGTAAAAGGATATATACAATCCTTACATATGTCACACATAGAAAATGTGTAAAATTCTTGTATTTTTAGTTTTTGAACCATACCCAAGGTGCTCATGCTTCCTGCTGTTTCTATGCTCAGGTATAACTCTTGGTGGTACACTGATTACCGTATAGGATGCTGAGATCCAAAACCAGTTCATATAGCATTCCTGACCCACAGTAGTATCACTCCAGTCCAAAACATTTGTATAATTTTTAAATTAAATTCTAAACATAAAAAAGCATACATTATGTATAAACTATTAAAAATTTTCCTGCTTAATATATTTAATTGCTTTTATATTTTATGAAATAATTGGGACGTGGTACTAGTCTCAATGTTTTATATGAATTTATGGGCTTTGATAAAATTTTAGGAAATAAAATGACATGAACTATGACATTCCTGAATGAAACTAAGGTGTGTGCCACACATCTATGTAAACAGAGTGTTAAAATGAAATGTTGGGTGAAATCTGGTCATGACATAGTGGGTTATAAATATTTTTCCTATCAGGTCATTAAAATACTCCCTCTGCATTCCAGAGAGATTAATTATTATGTCTTATTTCACATGTATTATCAGTTTCTTTTTTTTTTAATTTAGGCACTGTAATTTACAAAGTTTTAAATGACAGAGTGTCAGTTATTAAGTGCTTCAACACCAAACCATCAATGTAATTTTAGACTTTAGAGATTAATAATTGCTTTGAAACTTGAAGAAATCATTTCCCCAGAGCTTATATTTCATTATAAATCTCTAGCTTACTACATGCATCTGAACACCTACAGTATCGGAGTAAAGTACCTATCATTCAGGTTTGTTCTTAGAAATATGCCTGGGTTCCTTGAGAATAAAAGTGAAAGTACTTTCCTAGAGAAGGGATGTGTCTTTTCAAGATATGTCTAACTCAAGCATCTTATAATTGGAGAATATTTTAGACAGAATTTGTATTTTTGTGCATTGCATTTGCTGCTCAAATGTTTTTCTATTTCAATGTCTTTTATAAAATCATATTGTGTATATAGAAGAGTCCTAAAAATTATGTCCTCTCTCTCTTTCTCTCTCTTTGTTTTTCATTATCCTTCTCCTCTCTTCATTTCAGTTATTGTCTTTGAAACTAGAGTTTAGGAGTTAAGAGGGATCCTTAAGATTACTCTAATTCTTTGAATTGAACAAATGTCTCTTTGAATATGGGTACCAGCATGTGTGAATTCTTTTTATTCAGTAAATAAAGTGAATACTTTGTTTTTTATTACATTATATACTAGCTTCTTTTATGAATCTAGTATACTGTGTTGAAAATATTGGAAAAATGTTCTTTTCATTACATTTCCCAGTCTTAACTCTGAATTAGGAAAATAAATTTTGGGGGTCAGATAATGAAAAAATATGACTTCAGTAAAGTCATATTTTTCCATTTCTTTAAATTTAGTTTATGTCCTTGAGAAAATACATGTTCTTGTATTTCACTCCTGAATAATTTGACTAATTTTCATGCCACAAATATATATGACTTCATCCTGCTTTTTGGGAAGGAGAATTAATTCTCTCAATTCCCCAATTTCCTTTTCCTTTTCAATAGAGTCTTAAATTTCATATCCATTTTTTATAGTGTATACATTCCCAAAAGCAATGATTTGAAATACTTCAGGAAATTTACCTTTGTACTATTGATGAAATGCATTATTCTAGTATGATAGTAATTAAAATGAAAATATATAACAAGTCAGTCAAATAAATTCATCACATTATATATTGAGTCACTTATATGTACATATATTCACTTAGTGTATTGTCAGATATTCATTAAAATTATCAACCATAACTAAGAATAACTTCAAATAGGATAACTTTGTGACTAAACTATGTTGAATCATAGTTTTAGAAGTGGTTCTATTTTTCACAATTTTTATTATATTTTGTTTTGTTTTGTGTCTTAGTCTTTCAGGTTGATGATAAATTTTTAGGATGTGAGTTATGTCTTTCAAATGCTGGGGATCAAACCTGTTCTCATTCAGTGAAAACGTGTGTTAAGTCACTTTAGCTAATTACCAGAAACTGAGGTTATTATTATAAATTTTAACAATAATGAGCAAATACTTGAATGACTTTACGTTTGCCACTAATTATTCTTAATAACAAAGTAATCAAATATCTTATGTGTTATTGATGTGTAATATCTTTTATGAAATGTGAGTTACACTTTTCTAAGACATTTTTGGTACCAATCAGACATCCTATTGTCAAAGCAATGCCTTTTACTATTATGAAGTTATCAAGACAAAAAACTTAAATCCTAGACTCAATAAACTGTAGGAAAAAAATCTTTTTGATTCTACTAATAGCTTTAGTGTCTCTCCATTTATGCTGAGATATTAAACTTTTCATATGTGTTAATTGCATGGTTAATTATATTTCAATTTCAAAATCTGGTATCAAAGTTGAAAAATCATGAGGTAATTTGAACCTACATTACCTGTTCTATTAACTTTTCAGATTAAACAGAAAACTTTCCATTTGATTTTCCAAGCCTGATCAGTGAAAGATGGACATGGGGCAGGAGAATTGCACAGCTGTAACAGAGTTTATTCTCGTAGGGTTATCAGATGACCCAGAGATGAGAGTGTTTCTCTTCCTTCTGTTCCTTCTTATATATGGAATCACTATTCTGGGAAATGTGGGCATGATTGCTCTGATACAAGTCAGCTCACAACTCCAGACCCCCATGTACTTTTTTCTCAGCCACTTGTCCATTGTGGACTTTTGCTACTCCTCCATCATTGTCCCCAGGATGCTACCGAATATCTTAAACCAGGAGAAAGCCATCTCCTTCCTGGGATGCATGATGCAATTTTATTTCTTTTGCATGTTTGCAGTCACGGAGGTCTTCCTGTTGGCTGTGATGGCCTATGACCGCTTTCTGGCCATCTGTAGCCCACTGCTGTACACAGTTAACATGTCAGAAAATGTCCGGATGCTGCTGGTTTCTGTCTGTTACCTCTTCGGGACTGTGACTTCTCTGATCCACTTGTGTTTTGCTCTTAAAATTCCTTCCTACAGTTCAAATGTGATTAACCACTTCTTCTGTGATATACCCCCTCTTTTATCCCTGGCTTGCTCTGACGTTAGTATGAATGAATTATTGCTCTACATTGTGGCAGCTTTCAATGAGCTGAGTACCATTGTGATCATATTCACCTCCTACCTGTTTATTCTTGTCACCATTTTGAGGATGCGCTCTGCTGAGGGAAGACATAAAGTGTTTTCCACCTGTGCCTCTCACCTCACAGCCATTGTGGTCTTCCATGGAACAATCCTTTTCATCTACTGCCGGCCCAGCACTGGCAACTCTGCAGATACCGACAAAGTGGCCACAGTGTTCTACACGGTAGTGATCCCCATGCTGAACCCCCTAATCTACAGTCTGAGGAACAAGGATGTGAAAGAAAGTCTCAGAAAAGTAGTGAGTTCCAAAATAATCTCGTAGAAATTATTTATTAGCAGGACTCAAATCCCAATGTGGAGGCTGGTGAGGGGTGAATGAAATTCAGAGTACACAGAACAATAACGGAATGAAGGTAATTAGGAGTATTACTTTTTAACTTGTTAAAGTGCTCCTCTTCATGTCATAAATGTAGGATTTAGCATATTAAAAGATACGCTTCTAGGGATCAGTGATGATGCAGTTCTAAGTTGTCTGCCTTCACATGACTAACCCAGTTTCAAACCCTCACTCTCCATATAGTCCCTTGGCCCAAGGGACGAGTGATTCCTAACCACAGATTCAGATGGTTATGACCCTCTGAATAAAGGATTAGTAACATGTATGCTTATATTTACTGATTCTATATATTATTGACGTGTTTTAGTATGCAAATACAGTTTGGTGCTAAACCATTATAAACATAATAAAGAGCTCTTAATATTTTAATTTCTTTCTGTTATAGAAACATCACTGTATCACTGTATCGTCATCCCATTGTTCATTGATTTCCTCGAGCAGGCACCAGTAACATCTCCATTCATCCTTGCCCAGAGATTTTAGCAAGTGCCACATTGGAGGCTCTTTCAGGGTCAGGGGAATGAGACCCATCATTGTTACTAGGTCTTGGCATATGGAATATGCCACAGGGAGCTTGCCAGACTCTGCCGTGCTGTGCGGGCAGGATACTCTTGGTAGCCTGCCAGCTTCTCCAAGAGTGAGAACTAGACAATAAGAAGTTGTGCCGCCCTTCTGGGAGCTTAGTTTTATAGTCTCTGGGTCTTGGCCATTGATAGGATTACACAGTGCCAGGTGGCAGTTGGTGGGTGTAACGCCTCACTACTGCAAGATGGGGGATCTGGGTGGAGGAGGCCCAGTCATGATCTGAGCAGCCTTGGAGATCTCAGCCCTGGGACCTGCACACCTGGGTTCCTCTGTCGGTTTCTTCATACGTGAGGTTTGTCTGAGCATGTGGAGAGTGGTCTTAAGCATGGCTCTGGTTGATTCCGGAGGTGTTCAGCTGCTGGGGCTCTCACCCATCAAGCAACACAGGCTCGTGGGGAACCTGGTGCTAAACCATTTATAGACAACCTGCTCCTGGGTTAGGGTTTCTTACATAGCAGAGCAGCTTCCTCACTGTGATATGGAAAGTCAACCTTCAACACAAGGGTTTGCTTTTTCCTTCATTTTTTCTTTTTTGTTAATTTTTCCAGTTTTATTATAAAAATCAACATTTCACTTATTACAGCTCAGCTTATTGTAAGAATTAAAAAGGGGGGTTGTACAAGGTATTTTTTATACTGTTTACAATTAAAGCACTTACTTTACAAAAAGGGGAACGTGAATAGTGGACAAAGGGCTGACCAAATGTTGGTCATTAAAATATAAATACATCCTTGCAAAGCACTATCCTACCAAAGTCCATGAACAAGAAACACCAGCAGACTTTAAGACAATGATAAAGATTAAAGCTTAAAAAAATTAAAACACAAAGGATAAACATCTGAAAGCAGCACCAGATACTTCATGTGCAAATCAGGCAAGTTCAACTTAAGTGTCATGTATCCTCTTAGCTCATTTAAATTTTTCCTTATTAAAGGAATGACATTAGATGTAGTCATATTGTACTTTCCTTTTAATATTCATATTTTAGGCACATGTGTGCATATGTATGAAGATATACAGTTAAGTGAAAGTATGGTCTCTAATTCTTCCGTTGACTCTGGACAAATCCTATAGTGAAAAATCTACAAGTTTTTACTAGTTTTACAGTCCACTTCCAAATTCAAGAAATCACTTAAAACGCTTTTATCTATAAAGTCACTGGAATTTTTTGTTAGCAATGAAATTTAAGGATGGTTTATGGATACCTTCTGAAAAAGAGTAACTGTTACCAAGACAGAAATTGGTAATTTCTTTCTGAATCAACAAAACTCTACCTCCTGCCTCTCCAAACAGAGTCTTAGTGTAATAAGATGCAGAATAATGAAAAAATAAAGGAAAATACTGCTCAGAATCAAATTCAAATCCTGGGGCTAGACATCCAGAATGTAAATAAAATTGTTTTATATTTTAATTGTACATTTTCATGACTGAGGCTCAAGTCCTTAAATCCTTGAGAATTTCAAAAGCTGATTTTTAAGACATCCATTTTCAAATTTAATTCCTACTGTTTTTCAAAATATAATTCATTCTGTCATATTATTTATGTATAGAATAAGATTTCTACATATATGTACCTTTAAAATTTGTTTCTTCTCTTTTCACTTTATTTTTCTTAATTTCTTTTATTATTTGTATTATGGCACTACTAATGGATCTTGGAGATTCAAGGATATTGAAGATATGTGTACAATAGTAGCAAAATTAATCACTTCATAAGATTATTTTAAAGATAACTTTAATGTGGAAAATGTAAGAAAATCAGTGGTATTTGAGTGTTCTCTATTTTACTTATATTAATTATATGCTGTCTATATTTGTCTAGTTCTATCTTTTCATCAGTCTTCACACACAATCACACTTGTGCACAATTGCTATAATTGAATAAAATTATGTTATTTTCATTAATTGAACTTCTGATTAGATCTCTTTTTATTTTTTTAAAATGAAGCAGTACTGCTATTTATTCAGTCTCTGATTAGCTGATTGAATTGGCCATAAACTCCACCATACTTTTTTTCATAGTTTTATTAATTTATTTTTCTTCTTATATTTATTTATTGAATCACTGTGGGAAAAGTTACTAAACTTTCAGGTTTAAGTCTCAGTCATAAAATGATCAAACACCTTTCCCTTCACCAGTACTCATTTTTCACCACCAAGAACCCCAATATACCCCCCTCCCACTCCTCCCAATGCCTGTGAGGCGGATGATTTTGACTTAACTCTTCTCTACATTGATTACATTCATTATTTCAACAAAAGATGCACCATTATTGTTTGGAATTCCCCCCACCCCCAACAATCAGAATGGCTGAAAAGGCATTGTGAAATACTTTGTTTTCTATAGCTGGTTATGAGAATCATATAATGTCAATTTTGGATTTCTGCAAAGAGCCAGATAATTTTGAGATTGGTTTCTGTGCGTCTGGTGTTATGGCTGTGCAGGAGAGCCACTTGTGGGGGGAACTCCTGACCTCGGTAGGGTGTGAAGGACCAGCCGGACCGGCCCCCTTCCCATGAGACTACAGTTGCCCCGTCACTGCCGGCTCATACCTGGTTTTCCAGTAAACTCCGAGGCAGCTGCCACCTTGCTGCTAGGGGGGAGAAAGGCAGAAGGGAGCAATACCCTTTCCCTCCGGGGGAGATATGGTGCTGTAGTTTAACGCATGACCAATTCACTTTTCTGCCACAAACTGTTGGGCTCTGGATTAAGTCCTTTTGCCTCTAAAGCCATGGCCGTGCCAGAGAGCCACTTGTGGGGGGCAACTCGTGACCTCGGTAGGGCATCAAGGAGAAGCCGGTATCACCCCCCCCTTCCCATGAGACTGCAGTTGTCCCCTCAATGCTGGCTCATAGCTGGCTTTCAAATAAACTCTGAGGTGGCAGCCACCTTGTATGCAGTCTAGATGCATTTCCTGCCAAAAGCCGCTGGGTTTTGAAATTTGTTTCTGAGTCTTTGGGTTCATGGCCTTTAAGCAGATTGATCAGGAGCCAGAGAGGCCATTTGTAGGTGGCGACTTGGGGTCTCGCTGGGATGGGGAGGAAAGGGCATGTTCCACCCCCATCTGGTGAGGCCCCACATGTCTCGTCACTGCAGACCCAAACCTGACTGTCCAATAGCCTCTGGAGAATGGCAGTCACTGGGCCGCCAAGGGGAACAGGCCAAGGCACAAAACCTATTCCCACCTGTAGTGGCCTAGCCCCAGTAACCTACTGCACGAACAGGACACATTTCTGCCAAAAGTTTTGGGTTCCAAGATTCGTTTCTGAGTCTCTGGGATCATGTCCATTAAGTAGTTCAATTAGGAACCAGAGAGGCCATGCCTCCAATTTTATATCTGAGCTGGAGGTGGTTTGTGGGTGTGTCTCCCACATATCTAACTTTTGGCCATTTACCATCTTGGTAAACTTTGCTCTGAGTTTTTGAGGTCTGGTCAAAGGCACAGCAGCAATTTTGGGGTATCTGAAAGCCTAAGGTGCCATCAGGCTGCTGATGCACTTGCCTCACAGGTACAGGTTGACCTGCTGGCAGCACCATACCCCCTTAAGTTTTTATTTTACCTTGATCCTGTATATTAATATTCCATCGTAGATAAAAGTTTTCATTTTATGTGGAATTCAAGTCAATATGTAGAAGACAAAGAACATTTTATTTTCATGTAGTCTTTTTTGTACTTTTGTGGTTATAGAATTATTTCTATTTTGTATCATGGACTCTGACAGATTTTTGGCCATTTACATCCTTCTACTCTAGAGTTATAATGTCCAGAATCTTTGAGTCATATGTAGTTAAATGTATGAAATATAGCGCCTACTTTGGTATCCATAAGTTCTTCTACATACTTACCATTCTGAAGTTTGCCATCTCTTTTGTTATTCTTGAAGTTAAGAAAAATTAGAATAAATACCCACAGACAATATGTACACATACACTGAGACAGAGAGAACCATACACTACAGTATGAAAACTAAAATATAACTGAACTGTGTAGTGTTTTTAACTCAGAACAATACACAAATTCCATTGGATAACAGTTTTTACCTTTTTCTCTTTTAGTTAAAATAGCTTTATTTACATGAGAACATGTTTCAAGAATACAATTTATGCCTCCACAGTGTATATGAGAAAAACATGTGAAATGCTAACATCTCTTTGCCACAGTTGGAATAGTTTGTTGGGATGTCATTTTGGGCCTTATACAGATATGCTTTGCTACTGCGACAGGGATGGGTATTACAGCCTTGCTCAGTTTATTTAGTGGGGGGTTCTAACAGGGGTTGGTAAGTTCAACGCAATTACTCTGTGTTATCTCTTCAGCTTTTGATAAGCTCTATTGTGAGATGATTTTGTGCTTCGCCATGTTGGCTGCGTGCAAGGCAAACGCCCTACTGCTGTGCTATCGCTCCAGCCTATAGTATGAAATGAAATCATGTGAAATATGATGACATTACTGAATGAAATATGAAATGTGATTCACATGTACGAAAACAGAATGTAATAGTGCTTGGTGAAATCCAGTTGTAACATAGATGGTTATAAATGCTTTATCCATCAGGGTATTAAAATATTCCCTTATGGTGTTCCAATGGGATTAATTATTTTGTCTTATTTCACATGTAATATCAGTTTTACTTTTAAATTTAGACACCATAATTTGAAACATTTTAAATTACAAGGTATCAGGCATTAAGTGTTTCAACTCCAAACTATCAATGTAGTTTTACACTAAAACGGTTAAGATTTCTTTGAAACTTGAAGAAATCATTTCCCCAGAGCTTAAATTACATTATAAATCTCTAGCTTTGTACTACATGCATCTAAACATCTACAATACCAGGGGCAAAGCGTCTGCCACACAGGTTTGTTCTTAAATATTTCTGCGTTCCTTGAGAACATGAAAACACTTTCCTAGGGAAGTGATATATATATTTTTAAGATATGTCTAATTTAAATATCTTATATTTAGAAAAATTTTAAATAGAATTATGCACTTGCTTTTCAAATCATTTTCTATTTAAATGCCCTCTATATTTAGAACTCTATATAGAAAACAGAGTTCTAAAAAGATACACTTTCTCTTTTTCTCTGAATATTCTTATTCTCCTCTTTCTCCTCTTTTCATGTCAATCATTGTCTTTGAAACTAGAGTTTATGACTATGGGGAAGCTCCTTAATCATAACTCTAACTGTGTGAGTTGAATTAATGTGTCTTTGAATGTATAGTGGAAAGACATTTGAATTCTTTTTGTAGCAATTAAAGTCAAAAATTTTTTGCACAATAAATTAGATTTTTATATCAAGTGTATTAAGTTGAAAAATTTTTAAAACTAATTTTTTTCAGTAAACTTTTGTACCTTAATACTGACATAGGAAGATACATTTTGCACTCACATAATATAAAACAAACAATTTCAGTAAAGTAATAGCTTTTTATTTATTTAAATTTTAGTTTATGATATTGGAATATGGGCTGAAGTGATAGCACAGTGGTAGGGCGCACAGCCGGCCCAGCTGAGCTGTGTTTGCTTCCTCCACTCCTCTCGGAGAGCCCGGCAAGATAACGAGAGTATCTCGCACACACGACAAAGCCTGGCAAGCTAACCGTGACATAGTCAATGTGCCAAACACAGTAACAACAAGTCTCCATCTCATGATGGAGATGTTACTCGGCCCGCTTGAACAAATCGATGAACAATGGGAGGACTGTGATATTGGAATATAGAAGGTTAATTTTTCAGACCTTAATAATTTGATTCGATTTTATGGTCTAAATGTATGTGACTTTATCTTGCTGCTTAGAAATATTTCCAGAGAACAAAATCAGTCAACTCCATTTTCCTTTTATTAGGGAGAGTCCTGAATTTTCCTATTTATTTTATGTAATGTATGCAGGCAAACATTCCCAAAAGTAATGTTCTGGGTTGTTTACTTTTGTAAATGTAGATAAAATTCTTCTTTCTTGCATCATAGACAAATCAAAGTAAAAATGTATGAGATCTCAGTCTAATGAATTCATTCTTCTCTCTAGATCTAGGGATTCACAGGGATTCCATAATCTAATCATGATGCACTGTTTTAAAATTAAAGAAATGTTTTCATATACAATCTGAAAGAACTTGGTGACTTTTTAAAAACAGAATTGTACAGTACGTTTTCTTCTGCTAAAAATGACTGCTGTTAATAGTAGCAACAAAAAATCTAATTTTTTTGTTGTTTAAATAGGATATATTAGATGGTTCTCCTCTGCAATGAAAAATACTTTACTAGATAGGCAACAAGAATACTTTCTAGGAAAAATTAAAATATGTAATTGTACCAATTTTGAACTTATGGCACAAAATTCATAAATTGAATGATTGTAGAAGAAAAAAAGAATCTTATGGATTCTATCGATAGTTAAAGTGTCTCAATTTCTTCTGAGGTATTAAACTTTTAATATGTGTTAATTGCATGGTCATGCTTCAGTTTTTAGTGTCTGATATCAAACTTGTAAAATCGTGAGGTGATTTGAACCCACAATATTTCCTGTTTTATTCACTTTCAGAATACAGAAAACTTTTCATTTGATTTCCCGAATCTGACCAATGAAAGATGGACGTGGGGCAGGAGAACTGCACGGCGGTAACAGAATTTATTCTTGTGGGCTTATCAGATGACCCAGAGCTGAGGGTGTTTCTCTCCCTTCTGTTCCTTCTTATATATGGAGTCACCGTTTTGGGGAATGTGGGCATGATAGCTCTGATACAAGTCAGCTCACAACTCCAGACCCCCATGTACTTTTTTCTTAGCCACTTGTCCATTGTGGACTTTTGCTACTCCTCCATCATTGTGCCCAGGATGCTACCGAATATCTTAAACCAGGAGAAAGCCATCTCCTTCCTGGGATGCATGGTGCAATTCTATTTCTTTTGCATGTTTGCAATCACAGAGGTCTTTCTGTTGGCTGTGATGGCCTATGACCGCTTCCTGGCCATCTGTAGCCCACTGCTATACACAGTCAACATGTCAGAGCCTCTCAGGATGCTGCTGATTACTGCCTGTTACCTTCTTGGGACTGTGTGTTCTCTTACCCACTTGTGTTTGGCTCTAAAAATTCCATCCTACAGATCAAATGTGATTAACCACTTCTTCTGTGATTTACCCCCACTTCTTTCTCTGGCTTGTGCTGACACCAGTCTGAATGTACTCGTGATATACATTCTGGCCACATTCAATGAGATCGTAACCATTGTGATCATATTCACCTCCTACCTGTTTATCCTTGTGACCATCCTGAGGATGCGCTCAGCTGAGGGAAGACGCAAAGCCTTTTCCACCTGTGCCTCCCACCTCACAGCCATCATTGTGTTTCAGGGAACAATCCTTTTCATCTACTGCCGGCCCAGCACTGGCAACTCCGCAGATACTGACAAAGTGGCCATGGTGTTCTACACGGTAGTGATCCCCATGCTGAATCCCCTCATCTATAGTCTAAGGAACAAGGATGTGAAAGCAGCTCTCAAGAAAGTGTTGGGATCTAAATTACCTCTGAAATGTCACTTTTAAGTTAGATAGGATGTTGTGTCAGAGACCTCTGAGAAGATGTTATTCATTAGGTTGATATGAATGAAAAATAACAAAGGTAAATACTAGCTATATATTTCACAGGTTTTGTTTCCCACTTTTTTCTATATTTGAGCTACATCATTTCCTTTTGCATCTCTAAAAGCTCTAATTCTTTGGAATGTGTTTTTGCAGTGTGTATTAAATCTCACGTCCCTGGTTTGCCATTCATACATGTTCATGAAAAAGTGTATTTTTCTCATTCCCTCTGTAAAGCTCATCTTAGCAAATTCATTTTGTTTTTATTTAAGCATGGAACATATATATGTGTGTCATATTCTATATTCACAAATTTTAAGAATCTGTTTTTATATATTTATATATGTAAACATATACACACATATATAAAGATATATGTATATATATATACCATGCATATATGGCTTATGTGTGTTATCTGTGTGAAACAGCCTCTTATGTAGTTATAATACTTTCTGAACATAAGAGGACATTGTGAAGCTCATCCATACATTCCTGAATTACTGACGGCTAGTAAGTAAGTAAAGTAAAGGCCCTCCCGTTGTTCATCGATTTGCTCGAGCGGGCCCAGTAACGTCTCCATTGGAGATTTTGTTGTGAGGGCTGGAGCAATATCACAGCGGTAGGGCGTTTGCCTTGCACGCAGCCAACATGGCCAACCCGAGTTCGATTCCTCCGCCCCTCTCGGAGAGCCCGGCAAGCTACCGAGAGTATCTCGCCCACATGTCAGAGCCCGGCAAGTCACCTGTGATGCATTTGATAGTAACAACTGACGGCTAGATAGCATGGAAATTAAGGGGTTTGACTTGTCAGCAGGTGATGCTGGTTTGATTCCCACAATCATCAAGTTATCCCTGAGCACAGAACCAGGAGTAATCTGTGAGCATTGCCTGGTGTGCTCTTTCAAAAAAAGATTTCAGAAGTCAGAAATGGATTTTATTTTATTTTATTATTCAATATAGTTTTGGGGTCACACCCAGAAGTTTTCAAGTCTTAGTCTGGCTCTGAACTTAAGGATCATTCCTGGTGGAGCTCAGGGGACCACATGGGATGCTGGAGATTGAACCCAAGTTGGTCACATATAAGGCAATGTCCTATGTGCTGTACAATATCTCTGGCCTAAGAAATTGATTCAATTTAATATCAATTTTAATATAATCCAATTAGAACATGCCTAAGAGTCTATTTTCAAGTTTAACACCCCCTATTTTGATGTCAAACGATGCTTGTCTTTTCAACACTGTTTCAACACTGTTTTCCTAAGATTTAATTTTAAAATTTGTGCATCCCTATTTTTCCTGGAGTAAATTTTTAGAAAAAAATATGCTTTTTAATAAAATCTAAGTCAGTAGACATTAAATTACTGTAAGCATGGGACACAAACTATAATAAACTTTAAAATGGTCTGTTAAAGAGACAGGTTTGGGTCTAAAAGGAATGTAAGGTATTTGGTGGAGGGCTGAAATCACTGGTATTGGAATTAGAATTGATAAAATTGTTTCTCCAAGTCCATTGTAACTCTTTGTAAATTCAATATCTAAAAAGCATTGTGTTGGTAGGATTGTCGTGAAAAGCATCATTCATCTATTGCTTTTGGGAATATTGTCTGATTAATCTTTGTGGAAAACAGTATGGAGATTTTTCAGAAAAAAAGAATTGAAGGGGATATGGTGCCACCAGCAGGTCAATCTGTACCTGTGAGGTGAGTGCATCAGCAGCCTGATGGCACCGTCAGACTTTCAGATACCGCAAAATTGCTGCTGTGACTTTGGCCAGACCCCAAAAACTTGGGGCAAATTTTACCACGAAAGTAAACGGACAAAAGTTAGGTATGTGGGAGACATACTCACAAACCACCTCTGGCTCAGCTATATAATTGGAGGCATGGCCTATCTGGTTCCTAATCGAAATGCTTAATGGCCATGATCCCAGAGACTCGGAAATGAATCTCAGAACCCAAACTTTTGGCAGAAATGTGTCCTGTTCCTGCAGTAGGTTACTGGGGCTAGGCCACTACAGGTGGGAATAGGTTTTGTGCCTTGGCCTGTTCCCCTTGGCGGCCCGGTGACTGCCATTCTCCAGAGGTCACTGGACAGTCAGGTTTGGGCCTGCAGTGACGAGACATGTGGGGACTCACCCAGATGGGGGTGGAACAGGACCTTTCCTCCCCATCCCATTGAGACCCCCAAGTCGCCACTTACAAATGGCCTCTCTGGCTCCTGATCAATCTGCTTAAAGGCCATGAACTCAGAGACTCAGAGACAAATCTCGAAACTCAGCAGCTTTTGGCAGAAATGCATCTGGACTGCATACAAGGTGGCCACTGCCTCAGAGCTTATTGGAAAGCCAGGTATGAGCCAGCGGTGATGGGGCAATGCAGTCTCATGGGAAGGAGGCCGCTACTGTTTCATCCTTCATGCCCTACCGAGGTCACAAGTTGCCGCCATGATTGGCTCTCTGGCATGGCCATGGCTCCAGAGGCAAAAGGACTTAGTCCAGAGTCCGGCAGCTTGTGGCAGAAAAGTGAATGAACCATGCGTTAAATGCAGGTGCCATGCCTCCCCAGGAGGGAAAGGGTGTTGCTCCCTTCTGCCTTTTTCACCCCCAGCAGCAAGGTGGCTGCCGCATCAGAGCTTATTGGAAAACCAGGCATGAGCCAGCAGTGACGGGGCAATGCAGTCTCATGGGAAGGGGGGCAGTACTGGCTCATCCTTCACGTACTACTGAGGTCACGAATTGCCCCCAGTGAACGGCTCTCCGGTACAGCCATAACACAAGATGTACAGAAACCAATCTCGTAATTATCTGGCTCTTTGCAGAAATCCAAAATTATTATATGATTCTCATAACCAGCTATAGAAAACAGTATTTCACAATGCCTTTTCAGCAATTCTGATTGTTGGGGGCGGGGGGAATTCTAAACAATAATGGTGCATCTTTTGTCGAAATAATGAATGTAATCAATGTAGAGAAGAGTTAAGTCAAAATCATCTGCCTCACAGGCATTGGGAGTGGTAGAAGGGGGGTAGATTGGGGTTCTTGGTGGGGGTAAATGAGTACTGGTAAAGGGAGAGGTGTTTGATCATTGTATGACTGAGACTTAAACCTGAAAGCTTAGTAACTTTCCCCACAGTGATTCAATAAATAAATATAAGAATAAAAATATGAAAAAGAAAACTAAACTAAAACTATGAGAAAAAAAAGTAAGGTGGAGTTCATGCACAAATCAATCAGCTAATCAGTGGCTGAATAAATAGCAGTACTTCTACATAAAAAAATAGAATTGAATGCCATAAAAACCAAAAATTTCACTTCTGGGTATCTACATCCACTACACAAAAATATTCATTCAAAAGGATATATTGAAAGAATCCATATTAGAGCATCAAATTTTTGTGTACTTCAGCTAATTTGCAACATTGCTTTCTGTAAAACTGCTTGGCTGCTTTGCACCTGTGGGAGAGGGGACTTGGAAAGTGAACAGGGCATAACTTCTTTCTAAACCAAGTGTGACAGGATTCAGGTGTATTTACTATTCCTGAAATGTATTGTCTCAGTGAAGCACCCTGCAGACTTGGGTAAAGGATAACTCAGGATGCAGTGGTTGGAGGAAATTGCCCTTTCCTGGAGTGTATTGTCTCACTAAAGCACCCTGCAGACTTGGGTAACTCAAAATGAGGATGGTCAAGGGAGATTACCTAAGGCTTAATGATTCCAGTCATAACTTTGCTTGTGCTGACAATCGATGTACGTAAATGCTGATCTTTGAATCTATAGGCTAAGGAGTGAGGTACTTTTAAATGGATTGGTTAAGAAAGTATATGTTGTTACAAATCTATTGGCTATGAAATGCGCCGGCTTTGCTGTAACGGCCAGTGAAGGCCTATATAAGATCCCCTTTGAAGAAGTTCGGGGCTCTCAGCCACTGCCCATTTTGGGGGTATGCTGCGGAGCCCCAGCATGCTGGTCTAAATAAACCCCGTTTTTACTCCTGCAGGAATTGTGTCTATCTGGTCTCTCCGCGCCTCCCAGGGCTAGGGAACTCCCGATCCCAACAATATGTACATCATTATTCATTGCAGCACTTAGAATAATATCTAAGATATGGTGTCCAATAAAAAGAGATCATGAAGATATGACATTATATACACAGTGTAATACTCTGTAGTTATAAAAGCAGAATGACACGATTTGCTACAACATGGATGGAAGGCATGTTAAATGAACTAGGACAGAAGGACAATCACGGGATGACCTTACTTAGAGTTGGTATGTACAATAACTTAATGAGGAAATGCAATGTGTTAAAGGAAAGTGTATCTGTAGATCACCCTTGATAGCAGAGTATAGAGACAACAAAGAAGGAAATAAACTGGTGGAAAGATGGAAGAGTAAGAAGATATAGGAAATAATGGAGGCAAGGATCAAGGTTTCTTGGGCACATCAGTGGTATAGTGGAGTGTTTTGGCTAAATATCTGAACCACGAAGTTATCACCACTTAAAGTCTGAGATCCAAACTTCAACAACCAAACTTAAAATGTGCTTGTCAAGGTGGCAGGCTGGGGGTGGGGGGGTGGGAAGAGAAGGAAATTTGGGGGATACTGGTGAAGGAAATTGACATTGGTGATAAGATTGTGCTAAACTACTGTATATCTTAAATTTAACTATTAAAACTATATAAATCACAGCGCTTTAATAAATTAATTTTAATATATTTTTAAATATTTTTTTCTATTTTGAATCACTCATGGCTCTGCACTCAGGGATCACTCTTAGCTGGCTCCCCAGACCATACGTGGTGCACATATATTGGATGTGTGCAAGGCAAGCACCCTACCTGCTATACTATCCATCCCCCATTTTTAAGATTATTTAATACCTCTTCAAAAATATGCCATAAAAATTTTCCAACACTGTTTTCAAAACCTTGTGCACCATGGTTTCAGTAAGACTGCTACTTTTA